TGCAGCGTTGATGTCCACCGGAAACGAAATGCACTCCATAGGTTGGGCCTTACGAAAGAAGGGAGGCTGAGTGGAGGGAGGCAGGAGGTCGTGTGTAGGGCGGAGTGGAGGGAGGAGGTCAGGTGGAGATCGGGCTGGGGAAGTAATGGGGGGGAAAGGAGATCGGGAGGAGGTGAGGCGGAAGTCCAGACAGGGCGGAAGAAGGGGAGGGAGGAGAGAGTGGGAGGCAGGGGTTCAGGCAGAGATGGGGCGAAGGAAGCAAGGGAAGGGACATGGATGGGAAGGCGGTTTAAGAGAACGATGACATCGGAAGGAGGGCGGGAGGGTGGGGAGAGTCGGCAGGGAGAAGTCAAACGGATGGTGGGCAGAGGGAAGGAGGAACGAGGGGAAATATTGGGTGGAGTACGGATGGAGGGAAAAGGTCAGGCAAAGGAGAGAGAGAGAGAGAGAGAGAGAGAGAGAGAGAGAGAGAGAGAGAGAGAGAGAGAGAGAGAGAGAGAGAGAGGGAGATCCTGCCATGCTGTACATTATGTGATTCTGACACGTTCTGCTTGGTTTTGTCCTCGGCTTCCTGCCATGCTGTACATTATGTGATTCTGACACGTTCTGCTTGGTTTTGTCTTCGGCTTCGGTCTTCCAGGAAATGCTCCAAGATGCACGCCCAGCATTACGACTCACATGACAATTCTATTTCCTACAACTGCCCCCCCGACGGACAGCAACTGCCAAGCGGATTAGATGCTGATTACTTCATTCATACATTTCAAGACCTGCTTGACATCACCGACACTTTTTACAATTGAAGGCGACTTTCGACAACTTCCCCCGGCTGATCGTCAATCATACCATCTGGGCCCACCAGGCTAAGACTCACACACACATCAGGTTCTTTTTTACTTATTATGAAAGATACTGCAACCAGACTCGTCTTCTTCCTTACTCAGCACGCATGAAAACAGATGGCAATCACACTGGTGCCAGGCGCCGACACAAAGCTCAGAGATATCGAGGCCAAGAACACAGTTCAGATTCAAACTTGCTTTGAATGGCTGTGGCGTCTGTGCGCCCTGACAACAACCTTCCAACACTGTATTCCCAGCAACTGTTCCCACACGCGCTACTCTGGATCTCCATGGATGTCGCACACATGCACACACTTCACAGAGCACTCGCACACATACACGCTGTAGCCTTTTTCTAACCCTCAGCAGCTATGGCTGCCTCCTACTCCATGCTACTAGTGGTGATGGCCGCTTCGTCTCCCTCACTGGCCTCTTCTCCCTTGGGCACCTGCAGACCTCCTTGCACAAGTCGCTCAGGCAGCGCTTCGGCATGGCTCACTGGTTGAATGAATGAATGACTGGACGCTACCGCTTGATTTATACTTCGGTTGGTCGCTGGTCTGCCCCCAGGGTGCACACAGTCCCACATGGTACTTGCTGACTGGACAAAGTGCGACTGGGACTGGGTACCGCTGACTAGGCGAGGTTGGACTGCCCACTTGCCCCCAGCCTAACCTAAGCAATTCTCGAAAGGTCACTTCGGGACCTTCCGGAAGTCTGTAGACTTGACCTTTCAGGACTGTAGCAGCTACGACCTTGACCTTTCAGGACGGTAGCAGTTACGACTTCTACACAGCTACGACCGCTACTTGACAGACCTACGGTCCAAGACCTGACGACCACACTGACCTGCGACAGACAACAGACGACTACCAAAACACAGGTCACGGGTTCAAACACACATGGGTCGACTTGGTACTGTACACGGGTGAGGGGAAGGTCTAGGGATCAAGCCCTGGGATCCGCGTCTGCTACCGCAAAGGTGAAAACCGTTTCAATTCACAAATTATAGGACAGTTCATTATACTCTTTCTTTCTTTTGTGTTTTTCACTTTTCTTTTTTTGCAGGCGAAGCCGCAGCAGGTACCCTTGTGTTTGAGTTATTGTTGACCTTTTAATGCTACGGATGCATACACGGCATGGACCGCTGTGCATCAGTGCTGTAACTGTGTGTTGTTCATTGAAACAGCACGTACTGACTGCATACTGATATTTTGCTCTCTCTCTCTCTCTCTCCCACCCTCCCTCCCTCCCTGCCCCCTTCCGTCCGTGTGTGTGTGTGTGCGTGTGTGCATGCCAAATATTGACATACACAGGTGCAGTACCATGCCTCTTAAACTACCAGTACATGGTACCAGCCAAGTTGAGAGTGGGTATTGAGCCTCTCCTGAAATTTTGAAGGCTGTGGACAGGACCTCTGAAGGGCGGGTGGGAGAAAAAAATGTTCCGTGCCTTGGGGTGGGACCAGGCGCAACACTGAACAAAACAAAATTCCACTTGCCCTCAGGCGGGCCCTGTCCCGAGTAGCCGAACTTTTCGGAGAGGCTCATTCGTGATTCTCCAGATGTATTGGTGGTCTAAGTCAGCACTACAAGCCTCAATAGTTGACTTAAGAGGCATGGTACAGTATCTTTCATATTTGATCTGTGACATAGGGGAGATCAAGTATTTTTGCTGAAAAGTTCTTTTGTTCGGTGTTTTTAATAATTGTCGACAGAGTAGTTATAGGCAGTTGGATATGGCTTCTAATCTGCTCTCCTCTTTTTCCATATGTTTTTCCTTTATTTTTCAGATCGGAATCGTGGACCCCGACTGCAGGATGATTGGCCTACACCTTTATGAAGGGCTTTTCAAGGTGGGCGAGTGTTGTAAGACGTCCTCTCGTCTCATCTCGTCTCATCTCATCTCATTGCGTCTCGTCTTACCGCGTCTCCTCTCATCTCCTCTTGTTTCGTCTCGTCTCCTCGTCTCATCTCATCTCGTCTCGTCTTATCCCGTCTCGTCTCATCTCCTCTTGTTTCGTCTTGTCTCCTCTCGCCGCCTCCTCTCCTCTCTTCCCCTTCCCCAACCCCTGCACAGCCCCTCTCTTTCTCTGTCACAGCTATGTCTTTGTCTTTCTTTGTTTGCCTTTTGCAATCTGCTTTCATCTATCACACCCTTCCTTGCCTGTTTCACCTTACCATCCGTCTGGAAGAACCACAGTCGGATTAGACATCATTCGATAGACCAGCAAGGCAGGGGTTCGACGTGTCTGGAACCTTGGATCTGGACCGCAGGTTTGAAGGATGAGCGACCAAAAACAGAGAACTGGGAAACACAGAATCAGTGTGGGAGCCAAGGAGGGGCTTGAACCAGGTAGTTGTAGGTGGAGGCTAGCAAAGTGATGATTTTCCCTCTTTGTTGTTAAGAAAGTCTGTGTCGAGTTTGCAGGGTTGATTCGACCAGCAACCATGATGATGAAAAAAGACACTAAGAAAAAAAAGGGGATGGATTGGTCGGTGTTCACTGGGAGATGGGCCACAACAGGAATGATGCCTACCCCCTCCAGCTCCCTTCCCCCCCCCCCCCCCCCCCCCCCCTTTTTCTTCACCTCCCCTTCCCCGTTCCCCTCCCTGCCCTCTCCGTCCCCCTAGGAAGGAGTCGAATGTGCTGATGGAGAAAGATGGGACTTGTTGCTGTTCCCTAACCCAACAACACACAGGAGCCCTCATTTTGCTCCACTAGCTTTAGCTATGGTGGCTGGGTGATGACTTCACTTGTGAAACGGACAGATGCTGTTTGCTCTCCTCGTTTCCAAGCCCCTGGCTTGACTTTCGAGGCGCTTGTGCTCGTGACATGGGTGGTTGTTTTACACTTGTGTTTATTTATCCATTCTCATTTCGCCCCCCTTGCTTTTCTGTTTCTAGCTGGGTTATTTTCCAGGTGCACGGGCTGCTGCTCCACACACGCCCCGAAGTCTGCCCCGGTGCCTGGGTGGGTTGCCCGGTTGGGTCCCACATGCCCTCAGCGCCCAGGTTCAACCAGGTGTTTTCACACCCGGTAGGCGGCCTGACGGTCCCATGCACAACCAGATCATGATGATGATGGGATGATGAAGATGATGGTGATGATGATGCTCCATTGCTCACCTTCTCCTACCCCAACCCCCCATGCGACCCCCGTCCGAAACCAAGTTTTGCCACTTGAAAAACATAAAAGAACCTGGGGCATGCCGGTCGGCCTTCTGGCTGGGTGTGACCTGCACAATTGCCCGCCGGAGGGCCCTGTGGTAACCTTCTACTTTCTCTCCTCCTGTGTTGGATGATGAGGTGATGTCAAGTGGTCAGTGCTTTCGACCGGGTGCTGGACTGGGCATCCACACGAAAGCATTAACCGTGCATTAACTCTGTGGTTATTTTGTGCTCGGTCACTCTTGTTGCTGCTGCAAGGACCAACTCTGTGTGATTGCTTTGTTCTGTACTTTGCCTAACTGTCTGCCCAGGTCATCCCGATCGATTCAAAAGGTCAGCTGAAGGAGGCCTTCAATATAAGGTGAGAAGGAGGGGGGGGGGGGTATTGACTCTGGAGACATGGAAGGGAAGTTCAATAGCAATGAAAAAACAAAAACAAAAAACACAACACAGGAATGCTGCTGGAGGAAACAGTGCTGTAAAGTAGAAAACGGAGACGATAAAAAGTTAAAAAACAATGCAACACAGGAATGTTGCTGCAAAAAGAAAAACATTGCGGTAAAGTAGAAAACAGAGATTAGGAATGGGAAAAATAATGGAGTAAGTTAACAAATGTGAAGCAACTTGGAGACATAGAAGGGAAGTTGAAAAGCAATGAAAAAACAAAAACAAAAAACAATGCAACACAGGAATGCTGCTGGAGGAAACAATGCTGTAAAGTAGAAAACGGAGACGATAAAAAGTTAAAAAAGAATGCAACACAGGAATGCTGCTGCAAAAATGAAAACATTGTGGTAAAGTAGAAAACGGAGATTAGGAATGGAAAAAATAATGGAGTAAGTTAACAAATGTGAAGTAATGGTATAAATATTCAATAGCAATGTAAATATTAAATTGCTAAATTTCTTTCGTTTTTCGTCAAGGTATAGTCGACAAAAAGGTTGTGCAGTTGGGGGCAAAACACGGTGGTTCGCCCTTCGGGATATTCGTTAAAATTGGAACGATACAGAGAAGATTAGCATGGCCCCTGCGCAAGGATGACACGCATAAATCAAGAAATGGTCCAAAAAAAGAAGAAGAAGAAAAAAAAAAACAAAAAAAAAAACGGTGGTTCAGAAGAGCTCAAGGATGTTCCATTTTGGCATTTACCCTTCCTCAACCTTCCCCCCCCCCCCAAACACACACACACACACACAGAATCTGGGGTCTTTTAAAACAACACACACACACACACACACACACACACACACACAGACAGACAACAGACAAAACTGCAAAACAAGGAAGCCCAGATTGGGGCTGCTTCCAGTGGGTTGGAGAAAAGCCCCACCAAATTTACTAATCCAAAAAAAAAAAGTTGCAGTGCTTTTACATGCCTGGAGTAGCGCTGGCGACCTGTGCAATGACTTGCTGGTTTTGGTGGCATGTAGCCCGCCGAAGTGAGGCTGTACAATAGGTAAGGTTCAATTTGTAATTTTGTTTGGCTGAGGGCTAACCGCGGCAGCTAACTGTGAGGAAATTGGTGAGGGACATATCTGCAAATTTGGGAATTTTGTTTGGCTGAGGGCTAACCGCTACAGCTACCCTAACTGCGAATAGCAGGCCCAGGCTACCTCTAGGACAGATAGGCCCTAAAGGCCTACGCTGATAGACGATCCTATAGCCTATAGCCGGGTAGGGAGAAGCCCTAGAGGCCGAAACTGAAAAGGTACCGGTCAGTCCTACCAGTCTGGTCTAAGTCGTGTCTAGGCTAGGTTAGACTATGAATAGGTTTAGAGTAAACGGTTCGGGGTTTTTGGCAGTTGGTACCATGTACGTCGCTTGCTGTGCAACACATGAGCGTTGGAGAAGACGGACCTATAGCCTATAGCCGGGTAGGGAGAAGCCCTAGAGGCCGAAACTGAAAAGGTACCGGTCAGTCCTACCATTCTGGTCTAAGTTGTGTCTAGGCTAGGTTAGACTATGAATAGGTTTAGAGTAAACGGTTCGGGGCTTTTGGCAGTTGGTACCATGTACGTCGCTTGCTGTGTGACACATGAGCGTTGGAGAAGACGGACATAGCTGGACCTGTGGAGTGTTGGCCATAGCTGGGACTGACGCTGGACTCTGACAGCATGCGGGGCTGTTCAGAGGTCTGAGCTATCTGGAGTCTGCTGGAGGCGAGAGAAGTTGGTGCCCTGCTGGACCCTCCTCAGGTGTAGGGTTTCAGGGTGTGGGCGTGGCAGCCATAGCTGCAGCTTTCTTCCTCAGAGAGCCTCTTGTCAGGAGAGGTAGTCTGCAAACTTCCACCCGGGAAGTCCTTTGGCTCTTCATCATCATCAGACAGTGTGGCACTGGCCTTCTTCTGCATCCTCTGAGAGGCGCTTGGCCTCAGAGGCCTGTTTCAGGGTGGCGCTTCCCTTTGGAGGCAGTATCTGGAAGGCGCTTGATGTTTCAGGGACTCAGGGGTATAGCTCTAGCGGTTATTCAGGGTTGGAGAGTGAAGCGCTGCTCATTTATGAGCAGTGCACCATGGTTCTGGGGTTCTTTTGACAATTCGAGACTCTGAGTTTAATAAAGTGTGTTTATTGTGTGCGGACTATCTTTGCTTCATTGTTTCCTGGATATGATCTACTCGGCTTTCCTTTGTGACTGGTTGTGAGGACTTTGTGGAGCGAATTGCACTATCAGTGTTATCTGTCATATCGCATGGTCAAGTCTTCCGCTGTGTCTATCTCTCCCTGTGCGGTGTTATACTCCCATCCTCTCCCCTTCCTTCAGTGTATGTATGGGCATACCTGGAAGTCGATGTGAGCGAGTGTTGGTCTGCTGACAACAAACAACCAGGTTCATAACAGTTGGTATCGGAGCGATTGGATCTAGACATTGAGGCGATTGATGAGTTGGAGCAACCATCATCATCTGGCGAGACACGGGAGTTGAAATTCATGGCGATTTGTCATCTACAGGGTTGGCGACAGTAAGGGTGGTGGTGGTCTGTGTGTGGCGAGAGGTATTGGACAGAGGGTGACACACTACTGCTTAGGGTTGTGCAGGAGTGAGTGGCGATTGATGCTCAGAGGTCTGGGAGGTTCCGAGGAGGATATTTTTAGCTTGGCGATTCATCTGGAACTGGCGATTGACAAGGAAGTGACCCCTGGGTGTTGCGATTTTGTAATCGGGTAGGATCCCCAATTTCCAAGCAGCGCAGTGCAGGTTGGAGCAGCGCTGCATTGAGTGTCTCAGTTATTGGCATCTGGGAGTCCAGATTCATTGAATCTTCAGATTCATTGAATCTTCAGATTCATTGAATCTGTCAGTTAGGGGTGAAATGCCACAGGAAGTACTACGGGATCACCAAGTTTTCGTTGAGTTTTGTACCTGTGAACATTGGGAACAACCAGGAGATGAAACTGGTGAGATGGCTCTGAGCAGACAACCAAAGCCAGGGTTACACTCGTTCTCTTCAAAGTTATTCCTGAAGTAAATGTGTTCCTTCTGTTTGGCGATTCTGGGGCTATTTCTAGAATAGCGAAATTTGGCCAGGCAGTCAATAGACAATTGATAATCGAAATTCAGACTGTGGGGCAGCCATACCAAACTTCCCCTACCTATTTTTTTTAACTTCTACCAACCCTGTTTGACCTCCTTCCTGACCCAACTTTCATCTGGGACTGCTTTACAATGTTGAGATTCATACTGTGCAGTGAATAGGATTGTTCAGGGCTTTGTTGTCAGTAATATTGAGAATTTGAATTCTGCGCTGCCATAGTTAAAGATTGGTCTGGCTAGGGTCAGTCATAACTTTGGTTCTCTGTCATAATTCAGTTATGTCAGTCCTTGTGAAATCGCAATGCAGTAGTGAGTCAGTGTCTGAAATCGCATTGTCAGAATTGATGTATTGAGTCAGTTACAGTGATAACTGTAATTCGCCATACCCTGGGTATGGCATACAGGGGTGTCCAGTGATGAAGTTAGTAGGGGAAAGTCTAAAAATAGCATATCTTGTAAATCGTTGCATCTTGGTCATCAGTAGATACTTGTCTCTCACTAGTTAGTCACTTTGTCTAATTACGAATCACTACTAATCAGTCCAAGACTGCATCCTGAAATGAATTGATACATGATTTGCAGTAATTGCATGCAATTGATGTGGCAGGGTAGTGATTGAAAAATCGTGAAATTAATTTTTGTCGAGTGTTCTCTACACTGACCTTGACCCTCAAGCGGTCTGCAGAGACTGAGCACCTACCTGCTCATACTAACCAATTTCTCTCTCCTGTCAGGTGACAGCAATTGGGCGAGTACTGCAGAGAAAAGCCAATTCCTGTTACTTTCATCTCTGTCTTCTGTTTAATTTTTTATTTTTTTTTATTTTTTCTGTATTGTGGGAATTCAAAATGTCTGGTGCAGAGACGGGTGAAGCTTTTGAGGAGAAGCCTCAGCTTCCTCTTGACCCTTCGGAGGCTGAACTGCGTGCTGAGGAGGAGACGCTCCGAAAACAGGCTCAAGCAGTTGAGGCTTTGAAGGATGAGATGAAGCGCAGGGAGGAGGCCGATTAGAAAGAAGCTAGAAGGAAACTCCCCATAGCAGAAATTGGAAAGATCAGGGTGAGTGGTTGTGCCAGTCAATACAATAAGGATATGGCTGAGTTTGTCCTGTTGCAGGATGACATCAACCGAACTTATTTTACTAACTGGGATGCGAGGATCACCAGCTTGGAAGGTCAGTTGTCAGATCATTCCAAGAAATTGGATGATATTTCTTCCAAGCTGGACCGCCTCTTCACACATTTGCTGATCCCACCTACCCTGACCGTTCCTCCATCTCTTGGGGCCCCTCCAGTGGGACACCCAACAAACCCCACAATCCAGACCTACATCCCCTCCCTCTACACCCAAGTCAACAACAACTTCACAACCCTCAGCTCCATTTGACATGCAGCGGCCCAAGCTTACTCCTCCACCAATGTTCTCTGGCGAGGACCCGAAGGTGGATGTTGCAGATCGGGTAACTGCAGAAAGAACTCCTGAGTGGGTTCAAATGTGATGAGGACGTGAAGGTGAGTGCCATCCTTGCTCGCCTGGAGAGGAGTGCACTGAAATGGTGCACCTCTACCTCCAGCAAGCAAGGGATGGAGATGTCTGATTGGGCGCAGAGGCTGGGGGTGGCTGGTTTTCTGCAGGCATTGCAGGATCGGTTTGCAGACAAGGAGCAGGCCAGGAAAGCAGCAGACAAAATTTTGCGCCTGGGCCAGAAAAAGTTTGACGGCTCCTTGTCCAAACTGTATTCCAGGAAGCACCTTCTGAAGGAAGGGACCCTCCTCAAAGGGGCGTCGAAGGAGGAAGGGTGCGCTGTTTGCTGCAGCCTCAAGTTCAGATGATGATGCAGCATCCCAGGGTGTGACCCCTCCATCTGGGACTGCTTCCTCATGTGCTGCAGATCCTTCTGTTCTTCCCCTGGCTGATGCTTTGATGGGCTTGACAGAGGGCAAAGCCCTGGCCCAGAAAGCACCAACCAGCAACAAGGGGAAAGGTAAGGGGCGTGCCTCTTCCCCTGGAGCCCAGAGTACCTTTACCACGTGACGTCCGTTGGGGAGCTGATGCCCTTGATCCTTCCACCTTCCGCTGGCATGCACTCAGGATCCAGGAGGGAGTTTGGAGGAAGCGGAAGGGACGGGGGTGTTTGCCTGAGGTGCAAGGGTGACCACTTTTGAAAGGACTGTCCCAACATGCCTCGCAGGTCTACAGGCGGCTCTAGTTCAAAAAACTAGAGCAGAGAGAGGTGGAAGCAGCAGCTCCTTCCACCAGTGCTGATTCACCTTCTGATGAAGATGAATCTTCACATTCTCTCGCTGGTTCTTTTTGTGGAGTTGCATCTTCAGGGTCCTTCACTTTTGAGGACACTGAACTGGATGAGACGTGGGAGGAGGATGAGTCTCATAGCCTTGTTGATATTTTCCTGTCTTTGTAGGAAAGAAAGAAGCACAGGTCAGACCTCATCGTGCTTCGACCCTCCATCCTGGGAGCCAAGTTCAAAGGGCTCGTCGACTGTGGGGCTACTCGCAACTTTATGTCTCCCAAGACAGTCAACAGGCTGCACTTGGATCAGAGATTGGTAAAACTGCGACAACCTATTGAGGTTTGCATTGGTGACTCATCCACAGTCAAGATCACTACTGTTGTTAAAAGCCTACTTGTGACCTTTGACAAGCAGGGGGAAATCAGCCATCGCCTGAATTTCTACGTGTTTGTACCCTTTGACCTTGTGTTCTCTTTGCAGTGGCTTAGTGCCACCAACCCAAGGATCGACTAGCGGATCCCCAGGGTTGAGCTACCTGACCGGCATGGGTTTTATCGCCCCTGTATGCTCGTTGATGAGTATCATCCGGCCAGAAGCTGTTATTGCATGCGTGCTCGCAGTTTCATGCGCCTATCACGCCAGACTGACCACACACGTCTGTTTGTGGCTTATGTCAATCAGACTGATGTTGAGGCTGCTCCATGTCCCTCTCAAATTTAGCAAGTAGTTGACCGGTTCTCAGACCTTATGCAGGAGCCGACTGGACTTGTCCATAGGCAGACCAAGCATATGATTGAGCTCCTGCCTGGCTTGGTCCCTCCCAAGGGTCGGGTCTGTAGGATGTCCCCTGCTGAACTTGATGGGCTCAGGAGACAGTTAGAGACCCTGGCCAGCAAGGGCTGGATTCGGCCCAACACATCTGAATTTGGGGCAGCAGTTCTCTTTGTCCCAAAGCGAAATGGTGAGTTCAAAATGTGTGTGGACTACAGGGGTCTCAATAAGATCACGTGGATGTCCCTCTTCATCTACAAACCTACCCTGTCTTCCATGCATCTAAGCTGTTGCCGTTCACATCGGATGATGCCTTTCTAGACAGGCCCCCGCAATTTGGTCCCCCGATGCCGGGCAAGGGATATGAGGTGGAATCAATTGAGGATGAGATAGGTACAGGCCCAGACAAACAGTACCTTGTGAAGTTTTCTTACCGGTCGGATACTGAAGACCGCTGGTTTACTTGCAAGGAACTTCTTAAGACCGCTAATTCTGTTGTCCTCAAATACGAGGCAGCGCAGAAGGGAGAACCCCTTCGATGCTATGCACGCCTACGCCCCTAGCTCGGAGGTCCTCGCTCTGGGGGTGGGTAGGTCTGCAATGACTTGCTGGTTTTGGTGGCCTGTAGCCCGTCGAGTCGAGGCTGTAGGTTAGATTCGTAATTTTGTTTGGCTGAGGGCTAACCGCAACAGCTAACTGTGAGGAAATTTGTGAGGGACATATCTGCAAATTCGGGCAAATTATAGTCCCGCTCTAACTGAATTCCCTACAGCTACCCTAACTGCGAATAGCAGGCCCGGGCTACCCCTAGGACAGATAGGCCCGAAAGGCCTACGCTGATAGATGGTCCTATAGCCTATAGCCAGGTAGGGAGAGGCCCTAGAGGCCGAAACTGAAAAGGTACCGGTCAGTCCTACCAGTCTGGTCTAGGTCATGTGTAGGCTAGGTTAGACTATGAATAGGTTTAGAGTAAACGGTTCGGGGCTTTTGGCAGTTGGTACCGTGTACGTCGCTGCTGTGCAACGCATGAACTGGAAGTGGTGACAGCTTCAGCGTTGGAGAAGACGTACATAGCTGGACCTGCGGAGTGTCGGCCATAGCTGGGACCGACGCTGGACTCTGACAGCACGCGGGGCTGTTCAGAGGTCTGAGCTATCTGGAGTCTGCTGGAGGCGAGAGAAGTTGGTGCCTTGCTGGACCCTCCTCAGGTGTAGGGTTTCAGGGTGTGGGCGCTGCAGCCATAGCTGCAGCTTTCTTCCTCAAAGAGCCTCTTGTCAGGACAGGTGGCGCTGCTATAGACTTCCACCCGGGAAGTCCTCTGGCTCTTCATCATCATCAGACACTGTGGCGCTGGCCTTCTTCTTCATCCTCTGAGAGGCGCTTGGCCTCAGAGGCCTGTTTCAGGGTGGCGTTTCACTCTGGAGGCAGTATCTGGGTGGCGCTTGATGTTTCAGGGACTCAGGGGTAGCTCTAGCGGTTATTCAGGTTTGGAAAGTGAAGCGCTGCTCATTTATGAGCAGTGCACCATGGTTCTGGGGTTCTTTTGATATTTCGAGACTCTTGAGTTTAATAAACAGTGTGTATACTGTGTGCGGACTATGCTTCATTGTTTCCTGGATGTGATCTACTCGGCTTTCCTTTTTGACTGGTTGTGAGGACTCTGTGGAGCGAATTGCACTATCAGTGTTATCTGTCAAATTGAATGGTCAAGTCTTCCGCTGTGTCTATCTCTCCCTGTGCGGTGTGATACTCCCATCCTCTCCCCTTCCTTCTGTGTATGTATGGGCGTACCGGGAAGTTGATGTGAGCGAGTGTTGGTCTGCTGACAACAAACAACAAGGTTCATAACACCTGGATGGGTGCCCAATGGGAGCCGGGTTCCCCTGTAACCTGACTGTTCATTTGTTTACTCAATTGATTGTTTGTTGAGGGCTGTTATGTCAAAATGTGCTGTGAGCCGTGTGATGAATCTGTAACCAGGAAATGAATGAATGTCCCTCAAACGGTCAATTGTCGTGAAAAAAAATACCACGGCCCCAGCTCAAGGATGGCAAGCACACAAATTGAGAAATGGTCGGGGGGGGGAAAAAACAACAACGATGAACTAGGTGCAAGAAAGTGGAGATGTACCCGGAATACTACAACAGCTTAGCTTTTTACTTATTTTTAAAACTGTGGTATTCTCTGTTTTGGATTTTCTTAATTTTTCTGTCCGTCTCCCTCTTTTTTGTTTTTCTACCAGATTGGAGGAGTTGCAGGTCATTGATATCAAGTTCCTTTATGGCTATGCGAAACCGACCATAGCCGTTCTGTACCAGGTGAGTGGTCGCTGGTGGGAAAAGAGAATCAATGTAGATAGTAAATAGTAAATACAATTTTTTTTATTTTTTTTTAATTGTTAACTAATTATTTATTGCAAACTTG